CTGCCACTTTCCTGTTCTACGTTGTAGTCCTCCAAGACATGACGACAGTGTTTTAATAAACGGTATCGCCATATGGTGACAAGATGTAATGTAGGCTGCCAACAAGTCTTTAATTCGATCGTAGCTTGGCTAAATAATTGTACAAAAGTGGCTATTTCTTTTAATAAATGACGATTAATTTTTTGAATCATATGGGATGCTTCTAACGAATTCAAGACTTCTACTAAAGCATCGTAATTTTGTTCAAGAGTAAGAAAATAGTCGTAGACTGAGATCCAATCACTATTTTCATCAGGTATTTTGAATGCTAGTCCTAACTGATCAGTGATACCGAATTTGATGCAATAATCTGCTAATTTATGGCATAATTCGATTGTATCAAACACCATGGGACAATCATCGTAATATTTATAGGCTAATTGCTCGATTCCTGCGCCTTCTACTTTAACGATTTGGTGTTCAAATAAGTGGGTCATCACTGCAGTAATTCTGTGGCAGGCACATGGAAGACTTTGAAAGAGGCCATTAAGGCCATTTTCACCTATCAGTAAAGTATTATTGTTATTCATTACGATTAAATGAGAAATTCCACCTTGGGTTAAATTAAAGGATTGAATGATGGCAGTAAATTCGTTTTTAATTCCTTTAGCATTCCAGTTATCTTCGGTAACGCTTCTACCAGCTAATACACGATTATGCAGTCTGAAATTTTTATCCGTATAATGCAAAGTTACACAAATCATGCAATCATTAACTTCGTTGGCCTGCCACAAGTCTATGGTGAAGGATACCAAAGTATGTTCGTTTAGGCTCTTGGACAAGAAAGTGGCTAAATAATTTCGAATTTCTTCGGCTTGATTATTGACAACCTGTTCTAATGTTGCTGAATCAGGTAAAAAATCTTTGGCTATTAAGCCATGCTTTGCCCAGCTATGGCAATCGAGTAAGATTTGACAGAATTTTCGGAAGCCATCACCATTAACGATGGTAAATGGATGAAGATCTTGGCAGCACATTTCGACGAGAGCAGTCATGACATATTTCTTCACTTCATAAGGCAGCCCTTGCTTGCTTGAACGTGAAGAGCTAGCATAGGTAGCTGTAGCTGTACTGCCACTTCCAGAATCGGAATGCTTAGCTTGTTCTTGGCAATTATGTTTTATTAAGGCGGATGTTCCATTGGCAGTTCGATAGCAATAAACCTAAAAAAGCGTCAGTTGTAAGTGTAATTCGTTCCTTTCCAGTATATCATTCAAAACAATTAAAATTATAGTTTAAACCTAGTAAGTATAAGATAATTGTCATCATGGGAATGGTGCCTAATTTGTTAAACGCTATCAAGAGTAAAGATTAATGATAGAAATACACAAGCTAGCAGTGTATTTCTATTATTAGTCGTTTACTTATTTGCTTAGGCCTCGTAATCCTCAGTATGTTATTATAAGTCAAATTTTCTATCAGCTAACTCACTAGAAATATCTGTAGTATAGAATAATGCTTTTGCATTCAATGTAGCTTTGATGTTAATGTAGAAAAGCCCAAAATTGCTCTATTTCATGGATCAGTTAACAATAAATCATTTTGATCGTATCTGAAGATTTGAGCTTTAGGATAATCAACTTGGAAAATGCATAATGCTTAACAGGTTTTAACGCAAGGCCTAGAATATGTTTTTAAAGCATCTTGTCATCATTAAAGAATTTGAAAAGAAATCCGATAAATACCAAGATTTTAACGTAATGTATAAACTACCGATTTAAAGTATGTTATAAGTAAACGTTGATGAGCTTTGAAATGAGATTAAGTTGATATCATGTTATCGCGGCTTTGATGATATTTGGGCCGCATTTATGCATATTTTAATACAATATCTAAAACGTAGATTTAAGGTATGTTATAATCATGAATGAACTTGAAACGAGATCAAGTTCATACCATGTTATAACACTTATAATGAAATTAAGGCGGCATTGATACAGATTTTAATGCTATATCTAAAATATGGGTTTAAAGTACGTCGTAATCATTAATGAATTTGAAACGAGATTAGGTAAATACCAGGCCAATACATTAATGATAAAATTAGGGCTGCATCGATACTCTTAACAATTGCTGCCCTTTCCTAGTATAACCTATCTAAATGAATTAAACGTGGATTTTCAGTCATAACTGTATTTGAATAAAAGTTCATGTTTATACCATACTTACGATAGATGATCAGTGAATAATGCGCAAAATAAATCAATATATCCAACAAGAGTGAGAATTTGATAACTTGTCAATTCATCACCAAAGTCGTTGTTATCGTAAGCTATCATAATATATTGCTAATTAAGTAGTGTCTGATATTGTGTCATTGCCATGATTAGCAAAGATTAGTGGAAATAGTTAGTGTAGTTTTGATTATATTAATGCAAGGAGCGCAATTATCAGAGTTTTCTGATGCTTGCAGTTCTTGTGCTAAGTTGATAACTGAAGTATTTTTACTTCAAGTAAGATATTGCCATTTCTTGAGCCTTGAAATAATACGAACTATGCAGACATCCCTATTACAAATTTTTAAATATAGGACATTAACTTTTGCTTATACTCTGTAAAATATACCTGATAGCAGAACCTACAGGCCGCATAATCCAATGCTCCATGTTCGTCATAAATAATAGCAAAACGCTTCCATACTTCTGAAGGACGACCTTTACTGCGGGGAACTGAATCTCGAAGCCAGTATATTCCACTTCTTTTTCTCAGCTCTTTTTCTAACTTACTTTTCATCCCTTCCGGATCCAGATTCATAGCTGCTCTGCAGAAATGTTTCAGCAAGCTGAACGATTTAATGAAACGAATGGACGATTGTTAAAATTATCGAACGAAAGCTATGGTAGAAGATTTCTCTACTATGGCTGACTTATCCGGAAAGCCTTCCGATGTTATTTATAGCACAAATAAATCTATACTACTAAGTAAATGAAATTGGAGCTATTCAGTAAAGTCGCATTACTGAGGAAATTCAATGGTATATCTTTTTCAAATGCTTTGCAGTAGAGGCATATTACATATCCTTTCGCAAGGTTTCAGTTTATTCTAGGTCTGGTCGACGAAAAGACGGCTCGGTGGAGTTGCTCCGTAATTTCTTAATCTCAAATAATGCTCCGTAATTAAATTGAAGAGGTATTATTATCATCAAGGATCGACCAGGAACATTAACTGATATTCAAGAATTGAACCGGGTTAGGGTTTAAATACTAACCCGTAAGTCTTTTGGGGCAACACCAGTTGAGTTAATGTATCCATTAACAGTGGTCTCTTCAATGCAAATTATGCAAGTATCAATACTAATAATTAATGCCACGAATTTTCGAATAAAGTTAATTAGAAATTATCTTTATCTGATCATAACTAAATAACTGGGCCGTTTCTCAATCTAATATTATCTACGTAAAAACGAATTAGTAAACATCCAATACCATTAAGATATATACGAAATTACCTTTGGATGTAAAACGATTTCCACTTCAACGTTTTTATACCATCGCAATCAACTCTTTTCAAATTGGCGCATTACTAATTCAGGGTTTGATCTTGAAACTATTTTGGTGCAATCATTATACCCGTCTCCACCAGCAATAAAGATTTGAAACTAAATTACCCATATTAAAGTAATTTTTAATATTATCTGGCTGGTTAGCACCAAAGGATATTCTCTATCGTCATCCTCAGGTAAAGATGAGTAAACAGTAGTTGTAAGCAATCAATCAATTTTTTGTTACTCTTCGGCAGTAGCAAGTGTATTAATCTATCAATAAGGAAAAATAAACTACCTTCTTTTCAGACCACTTACCATATTCTCACATGAAGCTCTTTCATCTTAGAAATTCATGCATATTGTATCATATTATGAGTGAGCATTGAGCTAACTGTTGTAGATGTCTGAAATTATTTTACATGAATACATTTTCGATTGTATTAGGAGCTAATCCATACAGAAACATAGAAATGATCTCTTGACCATATTGATATGAAGACTATCGCGGTATTTCTATCGATTTCATATACTAATATGATATTAAATAAGGTGTTTTATTTTGTTCAAACTACAACCCGCACGAAAATCGATAGCATGATTCTTTAGCTGTTGTCAAGATTTATAGAATCAATTTAGGCCATTAAATCTAGTAAATTATGATTAGGATTTGCAATTATGCGTAAAAGTTTATATAAAGCACCAGAAGCAATCACTTCGATTGACTTACGGTATGAGATTTCGGTTAGATTACACAAAAAATCAAAGCAGAAAACGATATAGAAATTCAGATTTATTCGTTGAATTATGTTTCAGAACGAGATTGAACAATATTTTGTTGTCCTAAATAGCTTTCCAATATTTTTCGGATTAGGGGTAATAATGAAGGATGAGTTCAAATTAAAATTGAAGTACGCCTAGATCGAGCTTTTCGGTGATTTTAACAAGTTTTAATTCTAGAATTCTACAGCGCGTGCCGTGCATGAAATTGGCCGCCATTTATATATCCCCAGTAAGATATAGCGATCTTACAATTTAATTAATAGTGCAACAGAGACCAGTGACAATCATACATATTTAATTCATATTTCTTGCAATAATGAATATTGTAATATTAAAGTTGAATTTCCAATATAAATTAGGAGGAGAAAAGTCGACAGAACAAATGTTTATGACTACAGTAACTTTTTCATTAAATTAAAAGAATAACCCTGAATCGAACAAGGATTAACAAACATCATATTTCATTATGACAATATAATGCACGAAATATATCTCGGTTTTAATTAGCCGGTATAAATTGGTCAACAATCGTAGGTTATAATATTAAAATTGGTCTCTTATGGCAAATCCTTTTTTAGATTTTTAACAATTTCTTCTACTGTAGAAGCTAATATTTGCAGTCCTCAATTTTGCATGAAAGGAAATCTGTTATAGCTGAAAATCAAACAATGTTTTGAGGTGCGTAGGATATGTGCGATGAAGCGTTTATTTGCCTCGTTTTGTAAGCATAAAGCCGCTCTACACATAAAATAGTTATATTGCGTTTTTATGATTATACATCATTAAATCGGAGTATCAAATAATAAAACGCACGAATTAAGTTTCGCTTAGTAATACCATGCAACTGATCCAAATTAAAAATGATCATTTCCTACGATTTATTAGGAACCGACATGACTCAATGTTGTAATCAAAATTTATATTCTTACTTTAATGGACAATATTTTAATTAAAGTCAGTGAGTTCAAGAATATCAATATATTATATAATGAATTAGCTGCAACAAAATGCTAATATTCATGTTCGATTTATGTAAAATATCGCACAACATGAATCAACTGTAGATTTGAATCGCTCTAAGTTATGCAATTTAAGGACGAAAGTATGAGTCGATGATATTATTTTTCAAGCACAGGATATCATCCATGATAGCTTTTTCAAGGCTTCTACTCTATGGTAATGAATGATAGATTGACGATGTCCATCATCAACCGTGATAGAATATTTTACATTTATGAATTACTACTGGTACTACTACGACTGCTGCTTTGAGGATTACTACTGCCATTGCTACTTGTAGATTGAGCATCAACAGAAGCAGATACAGAGGTTAAAGAAGTATTCTGATGATTAGCATTACTTGCTGTTGTATGTCTACGCTTAATTTGATCTTTTCGCCATTTAATTCGACGATTTTGAAACCATACCTTAACTTGTGCCTCACTCAGTTTCAATGTATTCGCTAAGTATAAACGTTGAGCACCCACCATATACTGTTGCTGATCAAATTCTTTCTCTAACTTGGTCAGTTGATCGGGCGTAAAGATAGTTCGAACACGTTTATTCTTGCCTGATTTCCAATGTTGTTGATTAGATGCTGATGATCTTAACTTTTCAACATGCTGGTGATGGCCACTGCTAATTGCTGTAGAGTTACTTTTGCTTTCTAAAATGAAATAAAGAAGATCGTAATATTAATTATGATCCTAGCAATTCTTGCATTATTAGTAAATTAAATAACACTAGCAAATTTTTATAATATTTTTTAAATTCAATGCTATTGGAATCTGGCTCTTATAATATTCATCAGGTCTGTATTTGACGTCCTTGATGTATTACAAAAGACCTCTGATATTCGTACACGTAGGAATATCATTAACATTATTTACATCCTTCAATTCTAAAAATTATTTTATATTTGTACTACTGAAGAATTTAGAAGGTTAGCTCCAGTACTATTTCATAATCTGAATCTGTTATTGAAAAAAGTTTGCATTTATAATGCTCATACGAGCCTCCACCAGTATGCTTTGATATACATAGAGGCGCAAAACCTGTAGTTTTTGCGCGTATGCTATATGAACTTATATTGTTATTTAATATCCATTGATGTGCATTAATACTTAAGAACATGGCCTAATCAATTAAGCTTCCTATTTACTGCAATACAACTACCATTAATATCCTCTAAACACTAAATTTTCAATCACATACTGTACATTACCCCATGTTACTTTTAGTTCGTTTTATGCTTTTAAATACGCATTGTTTGTACACTATTAATTTAATAAATGATTCTATGTTAAGAATTGAATGCTGTACTGTATTCAACACCGTATTGGAGCATTTTTAATTATACAAGAATCAACAAGATGTTCACCATATGATGATGTCTATTGAATATATACTGTAGATAGCACATAGAATATGAAAAAAATATACTAGCATCCTAAGTAATTTAAGCAATATTTCGCCAGGGTTAGTTATTTCTTTTAATGTTTTAAAAAATTATTCAATTGGTATAAGTATCTGCTAAATAGATATTTATGTAGTATATGTTTAATCATAATTACTAAAAAATGTTAATTACGGTGCGGTAATGGGTAAGCATTTTACGCATTGGCAATGAGTGTAAAGGTTATTATAAAATGCCGAAATTTTCAATAGTAATGACTCTTATCATGTCTCAATTTACATCAGCAAAGTCTATAAAAAAGCTTAAGTCGAACCCATATCTAGACTACTTTAATCGCTGCCGGTGTTAATTTCACTATTGATCCAATCCTGGGGATTTGTTAATTATTTTCATAGCCTGTTACTTTTGTAGAGAATTAAGAGTACTCCTTAATTAATTTTACAGTAAGCATGGGATTTTGAAGATTTATTTAGTGTAAAGAGTAAAATGGGTTGATCAGATTGTTTGTTGACTTAATGCTGTCAATGAAAGATATCTACCATTCCCGTAATGCTAAGGTAGTAAATAATATGTCAAAGTATAGGCTGCATTTCTGTCGCTTCTAAATTTGCGACCGAAATTATAAAAATTATTTGGTAAAAGAAATAGGATGGCTTTATTAGCTTGTATCCAATTGAAGCAGAAGCGATTATTAAAAATTTTTAATTTAAAATATCTAAACTACAACATTCCTTTATTTAGACTCTTATTTTTTATTTCAATGCAATTTGAATGGTCAAAATGCTTGCAGCTTTACGCAGCCATTTTTTCTCTCTTAGTTTATCACTATAGAAAAATTAATATTTGGCTACACAATAAAAATATTTGGACTGAAACTATGCAACCAAATTGTGTTTGATCCCTTGCCTACTCATAACGAACAGTAGATTATTGGGCAAGATTGAACATCTTCATTTTTAATGCAGACTAGAATTTTACAAAATTGTATCCAATCCCAAAGCTACTTATTACTACCAGTACACCATTTGACACGGTTGAATATCATCATTTTTGAGTACAGAATAGAAATTTATAAATTATATCCTATTCTGTAGCTACCCATTACGAACGGTAGATCATTTGGCATGATTGAATCTATTCACTTTTAATACAGACTAGAAATTGACTCTAATTATGACATTAGACTGTATACCCACTCTGAGCTAGTCCTCACCAATGGAACAATATGGCGATGATCGTTGACCGGATTAAATAGGAATTCCAATTGATTAAGTAATGAATAACTTGACGACTGCACAAAAGGATGAATCATTATAATATTAATGTAATAGCGGCTACTCAGGTAATAGACTAGGTGAAGGATTTATTAATTGACCATATGTTATGCTGCTGATTAGAAGTTAAAATGATTTGTTATTGGATAAGGGGTTTTGTTAATTGTCCAATATCCAATTTTAAGTCAACTAAAAAATTCTTTATTGAATAGATCAATATTGAGTCTAATCCGTACTACCATATTTTTATTGAATAGCAAGCATGAGTTGCTGACTAGATCAGTGAATAAAATACCAAAATAGTTTGTACCCTTCATAATTCATGCTAGTGTAGATAAGATTGGTAATGCCGCCTGTTGATCGTTGAGTTGTTTATTTGCCTAACGATAATATTTAGTACACACTCGCTATTTCTCATCATGCATGCTTATAGCATCAGCTAAAGAGACTGAAATAGAACTATACTGTCAATATCGAATATCGATACATGATTTACTAATGGTCAGCCCAATCCAATACAAATTAGAATTGATAATTAAGATTACTCTGAGCTAAAATGATACGTCAAAAGATATGTGATGGAGCAAGTTTAGCAACAGAAAAAATATTTTCAATTTATTTTAGTGTGTCGACTACGCTGTAACGATAAACGGTAGCCATGAATATAGTGAGTAAGCAATAATGAATATAAAGTTACTAATACAAGATGGTAACCTCATTTTCTCTTCATTTGGGCCCGTGCAATATGAATGGAGACATAGAAAACAAGTGGTTGTGGTTAAGTCAATGATACCGTCATTTTAAGACTAAATCGGCGTTAGACCAGATTAATTCTTCTATACCTGTATCATTCTTCCACTTCCAAATAACGACAAAGAACAAATTACAATTTAAAATAGGCCTATCTCTCAGTGTAATATATTAATACTGTGGATGATTAAACGCTGTGAAGAAAAGTGATTGGAACGGTAACGCGGGAAGAGCAAAAGAATTAGAAAAAACGAGCCTTTCATTGCAAATTTTAATATAGCACTGGGCCAATAAGTTTTGATACTTGGATGACTTATTTTAAGACGATTAAGATACATCAGGAAATACGATCGCAAAATAACTCTAGCATTGGACATTACTCTTCTGAAGACAATTGCTTTGCTTAGCCTTGTTATGTTAATATTCACAATGTAAAATAGTGGTATCTTAAATGACCAATTATGATCAGCTAAAATTGATTTTGTTTCAACCGTGTCCTATATAAGTAAGTATATAAACGTATATTCTCTACTGTTTCTCAAGGCGAAATTATTCTCAAGAAAACTATTTAATAAAAGTTTGTCAAATGTTGTTCACTAACGACTATTACGGTTCTCCTTCCTTTCCAATCACACTAATCATCATTATTGATCATCTTTACCTTTCTCGCTAGAACGTGATTTATTCATTGGATTGGCTTGAGCGGCTAATGGATTAATATTAGGATCGTAAAATCGGATAGGCACTGGATTGGCAGGCCTATAGCCACCTTGAACAGCAGCAGCCATAGGATTTTGAACATTGTGCATCGGTGGATTGCTGTTGTCATCACTTTTCGTTGTTGGAATTAAGGTATTAAAATTGAAAGGTGGTGTTGCCCCTGGTGGTAACGTAGGATTCATATAGGCAGCTTGCCATGGCCGAGCAGTCAAATAAATTGGAACAGGAGCTGCAACAGTACTAGGTGGTCCTGTTGGTAGATTTCCACCATAAACATAAACTGGATTTTGCATGCTGTTGTTTGACGACTACCAAAAACAAGATGAAGGAAAAATAGCTCTGATAATTCAATCAATTTCTGAGTAAGGCGAATCCACAGTCAAATAAGATCAGTAGACTATCTTCTTCAATGGAGCAAAATGGTGAGCTCGAAATAGGCTGGAAACAGTCTTCTAGAAAGCAACAAAAGAGGGCCAATAGACTATCTTCTCCAATGAAGCAAAAATGGCTGGCTCGAAATGGGCTGGAAATAATCTAGACAGGATCAAAACAGGATCAAATGGCTATTTTCTTCTATGAAGTAAAATGGATGAATCGAAATAGGCTGAAAATAGTCTAGATAGGATAGAAATGGGGTATAAACAGCCTAGTTGCAAAATGAAGAGTAAGGGTAAGCGATTAGGCTGACAAAAACAGGACTGCAATTTTCCAACTTGATTGATTACTTGTATTAATAATCCTTTCAAGTCTAACAAACTGATGATTTACTATAAAATGAAGAACACATCACTATACCAGTGATCAAGTAGAACATGATAATAATGACCTTACCTTATAATAGTGTTGAAAATTGGAATTGGAATGGATGATGTAGTAGGATCAATATGGATCTAATCAAATATGGCAAATTTACCCATTATTGACCTTTTGTCATTGGAATTACCGTTTGATTGATTAAGGATGATGGAGACAGAAATTGACAGACGTCCAAGGTAGATAATAATGCTATGCATAATTACAATTTATCAATGAAGTTAGCATTGAAATAATATCTCGTCCATATGGTGTAACGTAAGGCTTGAATTGAACTTGTTGGATCATTACCAACCTCTTCAAATAGTCTTCAAACTTGATCACAACATGACCTCATTAGAATCGTTGATTAGGTTCCTATCACATAATCTGTTGATCATTTTGATTACTTTAAATTTCTTCACTCCATCATTGACTATAATGACTTTATTTATAGCTGGAAGTAATCCTCATCCAGTTCCATCTTCCAATAGATAGTTTAATAACGATAGGGAGAAATGGAATTCAAGAGCGAAAAAGAGTTGTTAAAAATTTCTTTTCAAACTGCTATCCATGATGTCACCATTTGTAGTCGTGCCGTGATGGATAGTCATTTAATATACATTGGGTCATTTGAATGAGAATATGAACAGCTGATAGGTGTTATAACCTAGACTGTCGAGAATGGATAGAGTGGAAATTAAACCTGAAAATAGACTTGTATTAAGCAAGAAAAGACTCGATCATTAGGTTCACTGTCATCCTATCGTATCCAATATTACACCATAAGACAATATGGCAAGCAATAACAAGTCAACCAATTTCCATCTATCCATCGCCTTGAAAGAGATGAATAATAATATGATTGAATTAATTATAGATAATTACATCTGTTCCAATTTCTCTCTGTCGTGATTAATTTACCCACCTACTGTTGTCTCACCTGTTTGATTGTTCTAGATTCAATTTTGCTGCATTATGCATGTTTATCATTCCTCTATCAGCCGTTTATTATGATTTCATCATAAATCAGATGGTATCCAATGGATTCTTACTGAATATTGTATTTCAAGCTAGCTGTCATGGATCAACCCTTCAATAGGATTATCCAATTTGACAATAATGACATTCGCGTATTCATATCCTTTCTGATTATTGGTCTATTTCGTGATGAAGTTATTGATTATTAGTTGATGCAGATATAATTATAAAGTTCAAATGGAGCCTATACTGGACAATCCATGCTGTAGGGATGAAATGATTGCAGGATTGAAATGGATGCCCCAATTCCAATTCTGCTATCCAATCTTTTCTTAACGATATTAGACTCGTGAGCTGATCATGAAAGTAAATCTCGATAGATTACTAAGACTATCCTCCACATCCTAAATGGGCAAATAGGGGTTTGATTGTATAGCAGTGGTTATATTCGTGCTGAAAAGGTCTTTCTAAAATATGGGATCTGCTTTAAATTTAAATTTAAATTAGATCAAATAGTAATAGCTAATTGTACTATGGACCCCATGAGATAATCATTCCGTATTAAACCTACTAGTGGGCGAGTTTGTAGAAAGCAAATACAAGCGGTAAATCATAAACAACGCGAATAAAAGATCATTCTACGCCATAATTTTAGCCTAGGCCATGACATACTTCCTGTTCATATGTATGGTAACAATTTGCTATAGTTAAATACGATTAGTCATCACTATTGCTGTGCTTTGGTAAACAACCGTTGTAGGCTAAATGTTCTCGAAATATTTGAATATGTCTATAAATATGTCTGTGGGCTGAATAACTAAAACAGTTTTATCCTACATGTTATAGTCATGACATGCATAACGTGGCTAATGAGCAAATTAGACTACCAATTTATTTTGAATCAACGACCAATAAAGCATACAATTAAACTTTTGCACAAATTGTTACTACAGCAACTGACTGCTTTTTTATTCTATTTAATTGAATAATGTACTGCTTCCTAATATTGAGTAATTTTATATCATGCCCCATCACTGTACAACATAAACCTAATTTAAAATCCAGACTCTTTGCATGAGTGAGTAGCAAGGTTATTATTGATATGATGTAGAGTGAGATAGGTGTAATATTAGAATTTTATAGCAAGACAGGAATAACGGTTAATACCGCAATGATGATGAATTATAATTGATTCGGTTTTAATCGGTTTGTGATCGTAGTGTATGGATAAGCTAGAAGCATATCCTAAAAGCAATTAATGTCACTCTGAATTTCTCAAATCAGTATATCGATAGCAATTATTCTAAGTGTTGTTGAATCTTGAGGTTTAGATCATCATATATGAGTAAGGTTTAACTATCAGCATTTCATCAACGCAGAGATTAAATGAAATGGAAAAATGTTCTTTAGTATAATATCATGTATAGTAGCTGAAATTGAGTAAGATGAACGAGCTGGCGGTATATCGCAAGAATAAGTTTAATAATATAGCTTGAATTTGAAAATGTAGCAGTAGATATCAACAATCTATAAATAATAAACATTTATTTCGAAAATTCTTACGCCAATTAATCAAATATTTCAGGGCGGCCGTAATATTACTAGTGATGAAAAAAAATGTCAATCGTTAATTTTGCCTATAACTTAACGGATGGCTAAACATACGCAAGATACCAATAATATTGCCTCTATTACATTTTACTACAGCGTACTACAGTGCATAATAAAACTAGTTCTACTTCTGCTTTCAAATGGAATATCTTAATGACCAAGGCGTTTTAATGTTACGCAACTACAATGTTTCTATATTCAGAAAGGTGATTGTCATGGAGGTGGGTAATCGCTAATGAAGCAATAACTAAGCGTGAAAACAACCAATACTATAAATTAATATTGGTTTGTCAACATTATATAACTTATCAAGATGATGAAATTGACGGATAAACCCAGTTGGTCGCCATAATAAAAAAATAAACGAATCACAGGTCATGATAGAATTAGTAACTGTCGAATAGAAAATAACCCTGAAGACGATTTTAAAAGTACAAACGAGCACAAGCAATAGCTATTCAATTTCAAGCCAATCGCTATACAGCATAAATTTTTTAATCATTTTAAAGTGCTTTTAATAGTTGAGTTATGAACGATTTTCTAACTTTTGGTCCGAGAAATAATTGAATAAGAATGCAATTTGTAAGGTAGTTTTAGAACATTTTGCTAGAGTAGTAACTCACTCTAGCGATAGTTATATAATCCATCATAGCTGATGAAAAATAATTGTGCTATTCGATTAAAATCACGCTTGTAAATTGACTAAAATGATTATCTACAGGGGTAAATTGATAAGGGAAATTTGTATACGAACTAGTGATTACAATATGGTTCTATTAGAGTTTCGTGTATCTAGCTAATACAAATGATCATGCAAGCGTAGGATATTATTTTTATTTTATGCACCCACGTATGTTGGTCAAATTGCCTGAATAATGTTGTTGTGAAGGTCATGAATTCAATCATTTTAAGGCAACCATATTGTCCGATATTTGTTATTTGTTATTTTTAATAGTTGACACCCTTCTTCTTCTCCACCAAGGCAAATAAACAATTTAATTACGTAATTAGTGACTCTTATTAATTTGCTTATTTTATGAAAATTAGTTATAAATTATCCATCGCTGGCAATCTATTCTATTATTCTACTTTCTGACTGCCGATACCACGTGTATAGAATATTGCGTACTGCCATAGGTAAAATTTGCCGCAACAATGTATTTTCTGGCTAAATCTGCAATCGATTTGAATATTAAATTACCTTTCCATAGTCTTATAGTAACATTAAATTATAGCAAAATGTGATATTAGAAAGGCAATGTTGATAATATTAAGATAGAATTATTTATCCTTAATAAATGAGTAGTTATTAACTTGCTGGGTATGCCTGATTTGATTTAGACAAGGTAGAGTTGTTATCCGATATTAAAACTCGGTATATCGAAATCAATAATTTTTATTTTATAATTTGGAGTATGAAAAGACAATAATGATTATCAATTTACAGCCAGACCAACCGTAAAAAGACTTTATATCGAGTCCATTTTTAGTCGATAAGTACAATTTGTAGATACAAAATACCCATTACGAATCGAGTCAATAGCACAACGGAATCATCTGGCTACAGTTGTGGGCTTGAGCTATCGTTATCTTTGTGCTAATACTTGCAATCTCCTGTAGTTTCTGAAAATAGTACTGACTCGTGTTGAGAATTTATCTTGCCATAGCATAGTATATTACCAAGCAATCAAATACTTATAGTTGTTGATATCAAATTGGTTCCAATAGGGAGTCTAGTTAACTCAAGTAAAAACTACGACGGCAATATTAATACTCCGTTCTACCTAGCTTACTAGTCTCTCGTAGACAATAAATGCTTACGATAGTACTGTCAGTCTTTACAAGTGATCAATATTTGCGTTAAAGCTATAGAAAAATCTAGAAATGATACATACAGTATTAAAAACGTGGCTAAAGAGGCAGAGTCTCATTGAATACTTAATCTGATAAACATTTTCGTAGTGGCTAGTTCTGATCTCAGCCATGACGAGGTAAACACAGCTGCAAGTTTTATGATGTATACAGAATAAGTTTACCAAACATCTCTAAAATTATATTAATTTAACCAAAGAAGCATCGACGAAAAAAGTAGGGCCTGAAATACCTAAGTCGAGTCCAGAAATATTACTTATACAATGTAGAGATGGCCCCCACTTTTCTACCATTAGAGGAAGAGTGCATGCAGTAAAGCCAGCCTTGAATATGACGAATGTTATTTAATTAATTTACCTTCATCACTATTTGTGCTACTTTTCCTATTTAGTTATTTATTAAAATTAAACCCGTGGGGTTAATAATAATGATTTGATACCACAGTCCTAGTCACAAGGAAATGGTAATTATGCCGAGCCAGTACTATGTTTTATAATGTACTATATATTTGGATAAGCCGCTGTAGATTTCTAGTAATGCGGTGATTTGTGGCATTGCAGAACTAATCATTGCATCATACAATTTAAGGCAATGCAGACCTTTATTCAGTTACTAGAGTCTTTAATTTTCTATAGATTAGGAACACTTGTAGGCCAAAAAACATAATATACTTAAACTATCTAAATTACAGTGCGAATTTTAGAAGTTAACTTAAAACTATTTGCACTAGATTTTGAACAAGTTCCAATATTTCACTAGCCTACCACTCGAAAGAAGTTTGAAGTTGATGGAACTGTCTATCCCCAGTAATATTGTCCTTGGCTATAGTCTACATGAATTTATCAATATGGTACATGGACTTTAACTATATTAACCATTCTTATTTTTATCTTGATATCTTTGATATTACTTATTATCAAATCAGAATTAGAAGCGATAAAAAAAATATAAATAAAATCACCGATACTGATTTTGATAATAGATTAAGAGACCTTTTAAATTGACCTTTACCTGCTAGTAAAAGTGGAACCTTTTGTAAACAGTCGGCGGTTGCTGGCATTTCCTAGTAAGAGATCAAAAAGATGGAATGCATGTATTCGATTCACGGAGAACTAATATAAAATCTGGGAAAAATTTTTTATTTTTCGGTTGCAAATACAATACTATATTCATTCACAGAATTCGTTACGCATATTTAGTTACATTTTTGGGGGTTTATGCTCACAAACACACACTTACTTACAAATACACAAATATATTCTACATCAAGCGTTATTTTTACTCAATAACATCTAGCCAAGGGGTAATCTGCTTCATTCATACTATAATAATCCAACGTATGTGTGCATGGTGACATTTTCGATAGTATACGTATACATATATAGTCGTATATGTATATATATATATATATATATATATATTTATATATTCTTAAGTAACGTATCTTATTAGAGAAAAAAAACTTATTCGTTATATTCACATTTTTTTTGTTTTTTTTTCACTATAACGTACCGTATCCAGTACAAGTACAAAGATATCGTTTTGGTTAGCATATAGTCATGATGTAGAAAATCAAAAGCGATGCACAATTATCAACATTGTTTTTCTTATTTAAATTATACATGCTTTTTCGATTTTTTAATCAACAATCCATCACATGACTCGATTACTAACGCTATGATCAAAAGATCAAGGGACAATATAAAACAAAGTTTGAGATAATTACTAAGTTAGTTAGCAACAAGTATGTTGCCATTTAACCAAACTTAGAAAAGTAGACTTGATATTAATCACGCCCTCTAAGCTAAGTTAACATCAGAATAGCACACGATCAAATTGTTAATGCTATTGCTATATTGACAGATATTCAATTTTCATAATGTTATTTAAGATTGATGCTACTGTAGCATTATTTATAACTAAACAAACAGCTATTAAAAGCAATTTGTGATATTTAAAAATTGATGAAAAATTTCAGGTTTGCGCAACGAAAGTGTGCGAGAAATCCTTACAAGATAAACGCTATTAATAGATAATTTAAGTTTAGTGTAGGAGCCATCAAGTTAGACAAGGTAGCATAGGGTTAACAATATCAATAGAGGAATGTCATCAATCGATTACAACTAACACAAAAATTACGTATCCTTATTATCGAAATAATACAGATAGTCTATATGTCCAAGTTGCAATAGTCCAATAACGAGCACATTGCAAGCACCACAATTAGTATGACGTAATAGTGCGATCGATGCAAACGATACGGTTAAAACTAAATCTAACAATGTAGCTTGTTTTTACGCTTTAGTATGGACGTCTTTTTCGTTACCAAAATGAAATCTGGTGACAGCGGCTTTGGTGTATTTAATTGACAATCACATCGGAAATGATATTATGCAATTTCTGCATATAGCAGGTCAGGAGTTGCACAGTTTTTTAACTTTATATTCGATTATCAGCTGCACAGCCATCACTGCCACCACTAAATGAGCTTAGACAATCATCCTCACTGCTAACAACATCGACTTCAATATTTTCCTCTTCGTTATCTTTGGAAGCCCATTTTTGAGGCACATAACCTTGTCCGCCTAAAGCATTAACTTGCAATTCCAAATCAGAAATACGTTTTCGTAAAAGTTCTCTTTGTTTTCTTAATTTTTCTTGCGTTTGTACGGTTTTAGAAGCAGTTGATTTTAATGCCTTTATTTAATGACATAAAAAAGATATCATTAAAGACTTTATATCGATACTTTGCATGACATTTCGTCTAGTAGTATACTATAATAACAAGGTAAAAGCAACTATGATAATAACGACAATCTTCTCTGTCAAATTAAACATAAAGTATTCCATATTAACCATACCTCGATGTAATCTCTGGCACCTTCCAGCAGTGACAGCGTTGTAGCTTTATTTCCATTCAATGCTGGTACTGATGAACGAAGTGATTCCATGCATGTACGCAAATGCGCTCTCCTGTGTTTAACAAGAATAAATGCTGTTATTAAATCAATCGCTTATTGTTTGATCAAAGACTGAATTAGTGCGTAGTACTGTAAAAGTAATGATATCATATACAAATTTGTTAAGAATGTACTGTAGATAGTCTGCAATGAATATCGTAGTATACACATTGATCAATTGAACTTCTTCTGTATAATCTAAGTAGAATAGTTTAACAAGAGTAGGCCAGGCCAATCTTATAGGCTTGGATATTCATCTTAAACTAACCTTTTTTTTTCCAACTGATTATGGGTAGACCGACTATAATAGGAAAAAGTAAAGAAATAACGTTGCCAATTAAATTATTATATATCGGAAAAAGGAGAATCTTTTCAGCTTCTATATCAATTATTCGCATATAGCTATTGCCACTGTAATATCTATACTAGTTTACAGTTGTATAGAGTCATTATTAGTGGTACTAGCTTCATAATTCTCTATTTGCCGTACGTAGAACTTACAGATAACACGAACATTGTATATCATTATATTATATTATTATGTGAGACTGCAGATGTATAAAGTCAATTGCTAAACCGAAACAATGTCTAAGTTGTCGAATATACCTTCAAGGAAGTTCATTGTATGCTATAATTGGGACACTCAAGATGTACTAGGTCAAGCATTCAATTTTTATTCTACCCATTGACAAGAGAAATTTTTCGTTAAAGATGAAAGCATACTGTACTGATCAATGATGATGTAGATTGTAGAATGCTATCTTATTGTGAATGCCAGTTGATTTATTAGCGTGGGCATAGACGATAGTTGTATTCCCTTTACGATGAAATGTAAAAATTTCTCAAATAGAACGTTGATTTGGATATTGCGACTATTTTAACTAATTGAACTCTCGCTGGTGATATTTGCGTACTGTCAAGCTGTACCAGTACTTTTTACTTTACAATTTGTCACACATTGCCGTTATAATCGAGTATTACTTACACAGAAATACCTCAATTACAGCGATAAAAATATGGATTTCGATGATAAGTTTGTAAATGGACGCAATGTCATGGCCTCGTCAATCATGCAAATAAAATGTACTAAAGGTGTGTCGAAAAGCTGTAATTTATTATTCAGTTTGAATTCTAGTACGATACGGCATCGTTAAAACATGATGACATCATGACAGTGATAGTACAAAATCAATGAATATTAATAATAATAATACAAGAGAATGGTCCATGCGATACAAGGCAATCATCTAGGTCTTGACATGATGGCATTAATGACAGTGATAGCATTACAATCAATGAATATTAAGGGTTAATATACGAGAATGGTCTATGCGATACAACGCAATCATCAAAGTCTTGGAGAAGTTTTTTCTCTTTACCCTATGACAACGAACTATTATAGTTTAGGCTAATGGAATACTCTTCATTGATTGTAGATGAAGAGACCACACTTATTGATGATCGCTTTCAGCTACTTACTTTGCTAACTGTATATTCAGCGTCATTATGTCAGCTGTTTGGACAGCCCTAAGACCTATGGCATAATGTACGAAAATAGTACGTTGTGTAGCGATTTTTTTATTCTACTGTACATTACTGGCGATACTTTATTAAGCATGTATATTGCGCCATTTGAACGAACGTTTAACTTTCTATCCTTCAAACAATTGATCCATTGAAGTGAGTAAGTCCCCAGGGAAGATGATCATGTGGTTACTTAGCGCATCTGCAGTAATACTTTAATTTACATATTAATTAATTAATCACGTTCAGAGGTCAGGAGTAGCCGACAAGACAAATAATAATCATCATTTAGTATACAGGACGAAGAATAATGATAGAATAATTACATTCAATATTGTCCTGCTTGTAGTAGAAAGAAATTTTTAATTTCATTTATTACCCTAATCTATGGAATTGATGATCAAGTAGAAAGATTAATTGATATGGAAAAGAAATGTTTCAACAAGAGTTAGACAAAGAACAACTTAATTGATGATAGTGTACCAAAAAAAATCAATTTCAAGTGTAATGAATGGGTCTAGTAGTTTTATTTCAATCGTTACTATGATTAGGCAAAGTCGATGATTCCTTTGTACATTAATTAATTCATACGTCAAGCCATGATCGATGGTGGACTGATGTATAATTTACTGTATACTTACTAAAGTATCACTACAGGCGCCAGTTATTCAATGGCTATGGACAATGGATCGACGTCATTACTGTACATCTGATTGATGACTAGTAAAATATTCGTATGATTGCCAATTTTAATTTCAATAGGAATAAATAAAATAATGCCTAATGCATCAGCATTCATGTCTGGCATGGTACCATTTGGGCCATGGTGTCCAGCAATAGCATTCTATTCTATCTTTTAAAGTTTGTTTCTATGGCATACAAGTATGGTAGTGATCCTATCCATTGGATCATCACCATCATCATAGTGTTAGTATGATGATCATCATTATTGCACTTAGGTAGATGAATTAAAAATAATTAGCATCAAACTACTATTCGCCTCGGCCTTCTATATCTTTGTCACTTGTCAATGCTTTGATGCTTTTGTAGCGATTGACGTAGTAGTATACGGAAGCTCGACATTAACATCAAGGCAAAGGTATAAAACCTACTGTACTGTACAATGATCATTCTATATTCCTTCCATAGCCATATCCTAGCATATTGTTCGCTAGTTTACCCAATCAACGTATTGGAAGAAAAATTCATAAAATCAATAGTATGCAATACATGTGCTAGTAGTATCGACATTGAAGGTCAACAATTTCACAGTCTACTCTGTACTGTAGAGTACGTCAAGGAAGTTCATGGAAATGATAATTAATTGTGTATCCTATTCTTCATAACATTTATTCATCGCCATGTTATTGTTGTGAAAGGCAGACATTTTTGGACTATTGCTGTATCACAAGACCCTCCTAGTTATCATTTTCTAATACGACCATACGAATCGACATTTTCATATTTGTATCGGATGACTACTATTATTTACCTTGATTTTATTCAACGTGGCTGACTGATGATCGTCGCCTTGATTTTTTTTTCTTAACTTTACCGATAGAATAACTACTGTACATCAATCATCATCCGCGAACTCAGACAAAAGTGGGGCGATTTAAAATGATGATTAATTAGAATGATTATTGTCGTTAAGATACAAAGGAAACAAATGGATAAAAAGTAGGGACAATCTCACATGCTATCTAGCGTTCAATTTGCTCTCATGCCTCTACATAGACAGTCGTACCGAACGTACAAGATGATATCATCATAAATTAGAAATTCTAGGGCATTGATGTCCATTCCTCATTAATGAATATTCTGTTGTCTGTTGTCTCGAGAACGAGCATTGATATTTTGAATGATTCTTTGCATCGTGCTAAATCCTATATTGACTCACTCGCTACCTTCAAAAGTAAAATTTTCTCAGATAATAAACTATTTTGTATTAATTAAAGAATCAATGACAGACGCAGTGTAGTCTGTATAGAAATGGACAATGTGGCATATTTGTTCGTTGTTTAGCATTACTATCATAATTACTGAATTATTTCGTATATTTTATTTCAAGCCGTTAACAAGACGTCAAAATATTGAAAATGCTTCATGCTATGTAGGCGATGTTCAACACATCCATAGGCATGACTTGAATTTTTACGGCACCATCATAAATGTAAAATGCTTGATTCTATGCAAAATATCCCCAATGGATCGTATTTTTAACTTCTAATGGTCTCAACTGATATTATTACGATAACTGACCTATTGTAAATGTAGCATTTTTATCAATACATTATAGTACATTAGTACTGTACTGTAGTGCTACGTTGAATTTTGCAAGGATATGAATGTTGAAGAAAGAAGAGTTGTTTTTGATGGTATAACTTACTTTTTTTCAAGTTGGGAACTCATTGAATAGCATGTTTTAGTGATGGCCACAATCGTTCCCACACACAAAATGATACTACACTATATAATTGTAATTTAATAGAAATTATAAGGGTACACATGTTGTATACAGCCAGTTCACACCATTTCTGGTGATATCGAAGTTAGTTCAATTATTATGATTAATTAATTAATTAACTATGCGATGCAGTCGATGATTTTCATAGCATTAAGACGGTTGAAATTGTTCAAATACTGCTGATGATAATGGAAAAAATTCATATAAAATAGCAAAATAGAGTTTGTTTGAGACTTGAAAATAGTGATGGCAATCAAGGTGGAGTAAATTATTGCTGACGTAAAAGCTTTATTATTCACTAATGCTTCTACTCAATGCAATATTAATACAGCGCTTTTGTGCCTGGAATAAGACAGACCCATTCAAGCAGAGTACTAGTCTAAAAGCTCTGCAGATTTCAGTACAAATCGTCATTTCACCTATCAACAACTTATCCATTTTGACTCTCCATGCTGTACAGGATTATACTGCAAACTGTGTATTTTGGGAGGGCTTCTCCATCGTATCGATTGTAATTGCATTTTACGTGTCGGATGCTAACGATCATACAGTTATTTCTGGAAATAAATGATCTTCAGTCACGTCATAACTCTTTGTAAGGTAGCGGGAGAAAAAAATATATAAATCGATTATTCTAATTCTGATTAGATCAATCAGGGGTAAAGCATTGTAAGTAATTTTTAAAATTTTACGTCATACGATAGACTAGGCAATCTACATGGTAGGAATTATGAGGAAAGAAAGTGACTCTCGTCAGTCCGAGTTACAATCAACTGCACATTAAATAATCAACCAAAACAAGTTATTACAACATTATACATTGAAAATTGTGCAACGACATTTGTTTATTGATCGACTATAGCTATTATCATAACAATTATAACAACTTGAATTCTTTTTGGATAAAAATTTCTTTTATTTGTCATTTTACTGTTAGTTAACGATGCAAGATTGTCTGGATGTTTACTGAAACATACTATCCAATTGAATATTACTATTGACGTCTTGACACTAGGCTACATTGGGCACAGTGTCTATTCAGATGTTTTACACTGTATAGGGCAGTAATTAAGATAATTAATTGTAATATGCATCAACTGTACAACAGAGGTTTATTGTCTGATGCATTGTTTTAGTATGCATTCATCATTTGGGAAAAACGTTGATGAACAACTTGTATTTTACGTTAGTCGAGCTGGTGATGAGCTTGAATGATATAGTAATCCTATGGATGATAGAGTATTTCAACAACAGTGTTGGCTTTCTCGCTATCACACTCTATCCATTCGATTAATCAAAACGCTTACTATTAACTCGAACCCCAACACCTAGGATTAATGAACAATACGCACATTAATATAAAACGTACAGAGTGTAAACTAAGCAAGATGAGCGATGTTGAACGAGTTGGTGTTAAATAAATAACACCAGTTCCAATGGAAATGGAATGGCTGTAGTGATTTCCAAAATGATTCTATTTCGCTTTGTACTATTGCATAGTATGATTGAGGAATGGAAAAAAAAATTCATTTGCACTACATCAAGTCATTATCGTCGACTCGTCTTGCCATCAATTAGTATAATCAATCCATTGTGATCCCGCTGTCATCCACTAGTCACACGCCCAGTCACCTCGAGGCAATGGCTTTTCTTGATGCAATATTAGTAATATAACATAGCTAGATAATGCCGTAATCATCCACGTTTTATTAGCATAGTATTTTTTTTCAATTTTATTTTCTATTCAAAATACCCTATGAATGATTGTAGTGTAACATCCTTCTAACGATCGGCTATCCGATTGGAATAGTCCACTCTGACCCAGCGTGTTTTCCTCATGGATCAATCAATCAATTTCTTGATAATCGACTGCTAGTCCATACAGTAGGGTTATCCTTTGCCATACAGCATGCTTTCAGAGACATGATTGACTTTGTGATAGGAAAGGCCTGTATCATCCATTCCCTAAACGCATGAATGCATGTTTTGACGTAGTATTTTTTCCCTCTTTCACGCATAATACAACTCTTGTTGAGTATTTGAGAATGATTATCCTCCCTGCAGCCGACTCTTTTGATGATGTTGTACAGAGGCGAATACGATGATATCCTGTCCTACTTTACTGACTAGGGTGATGAACAGAGTTCCATCAAAAGGAATTGATTTTGCCTACAGTCCAACAACGTGAATCATCCTGCCGACTCTTTTGATGATATCCTGTCCTACTTTACTGACGAGGGTGATGAATAGAGTTCTATCAAAAGGAATTGATTTCGCATTGGGTTCAACAACGTAGATGATGGTGATACTGAAACGTTTTATCATCCATTCTTGGTCGCAAATTCAATCGCTACCGTCCACTGAAGGAAGTTCGATCGTATGACACAGTTAGCTCACTATCAATAAACACTTTTTTTTTTTGCTCCCCCTTTCTAGTGCAGCTTTTGACGTCATGTATTTGCATTGAAATTCAGTCGAGCTGCTCGAAATAAGCCAACAGACCTGTGAAAAGTG